GGGGGCACCTGTGGATGCCGACTGGATCTGTGAGCTGAACTTCATGGCATTTTTTTTCTTCATGGCATTTTTAATATCTAACTTCTAACCCATAAAACTGGCGCGTTCGGTACGCTCTCTCCTCATGCTCAGGTTCCTGTCTGTTCCCAATGAATCTATTTTACAAAGCTGTGTCAGGAGCTGTAATTCAAAGGCAACGCTAGGGGGCAGTAAGCACACAGATGCCACAACCGCTTTTTTTTTTTCTTTTTTCCTTTTGCCCTTATTCAATTGAAGGTCGCAGCAAATCCAACTCTAAGGAGGAAAAAAATCAAGGCATCAAGAAGAAGTAAAAAAATCACTGGCATTATCTAGTGCTGGAAATTTGACATCATGAGAACACAAACACAGCCCCAACTTTAGAAAATGGGGATTATTTTCTAAAGGTCTTTGTTCTGTGACAAATACTGAGAAGCTAATGAGTTTGAAGAGAAATGTAACATTTTAAATTGCTTTTCCCATCAATGTTAAAATCTTATTTAAAAATAATGTATGAATTTTTATAGTTTACTGTGGCTTTTTGAATTAGAAAAACTTTACTTCGAGGCCATAAATAAATACACTAAAGTACAATATGCAGGTATCTGTGAGAAAGACATTTTTAAAACTGGTGAAAGCTGCGCATGGTGAAACACCCTTAAAATCCAGCACCTGGGAGAGAGGAAGAGGACCAGGAACTTGGGCAGCCTCAGCTACATGCAGAGTTTGGGACCAGCCTGAGCTATAGGAGACCCTGTCTCAAAGAACCAGAACAACAACAAAAGCTTCAGTACACAGTTAGACTATCTAGACTCTGAGGAAACAGCGAATAATATAAATTTACATGACTTCACTTTATAGAAGATCTGAGACTTCATTTCCTTTCTTTAAAATGTTTAAGATTTATGAGAAAAAAACCTTATTTAAAAAATTAGCTTGACCCAGTGATAGTTCTTCCTTGACTAGAACTGACAAACGGAGCTGTCACACTTGAGGGTCGATGTGAGTCCCACAGCAGCTGGCACAGCCAGGCTGACCAGCATACCCACCACCATAGCTACCTTCTAAACCCGAACCTGAACTTCAGCATGACTTTTATAGACGTTTACGGTCACACACCCAAAACTTATGCTTTCTAATTTATTTCTAAATGCTCCAGATTTTGTTTTTGTTTCAATGGAAGGCCACATGGCATTCAGCTGAGGACTCAGTAAGGCTAGAGTAAAACTGGGTAAAACTTTTTGTTGTTATAATTTATTTCTAACACTTCTTCTGAAGTTGATTTTTTACTGAAATAGAAAAATACTCAACCACAGCTGGGGAACTCTTGGGTGCTGTGCAGAGCTGCCCTGGTCACACCAGTGGAGCGACCTGGAGAGAGACGGCTGCACTCACAGCTCCCGCTCAGAACAGGGCTGCTGTCAGGCTTCCTGTGTCTCGGGACTGCCACCCCTCCTGGCTCTTGCTCAGCTCTCACCCAGAAGCCACCTGACAACCAGGCCCACAGACCCACAGGCCCTGGAAAAGCATCCCCCGTGTAAACTGCCCGCCACCACTCCAGCCAGTACCAAAGGCTGGCTAACTCCAGACTCAGTAACAAAAACCAAGTAGCAAAGCTGCGGAACTGCAGAGAATGTCTTGAATCACAAGGCTCCCATAGGCCCTGCCGAATGGCCTCTATAAACCCAGGCCGACTTTAGGTCTTTTCCCTTACCCTCCTTTCTACAGGTGACTCTCCAAAACCCTGTTCTACTCCCCAAATTCAACACAGACATACTGTCACCCACCAGGACTATCCTTTCCCTTCCTGCTCATTCGTTCTTAAATGAGTCTCCCAAATGCACATTGTACATGCAGCATCCACTATGAGCACAGAAGAAAGGAGCCCAGCAGGATGGGTCTCTTCTGCCTGCAAGTGGGACATTCAAGTCTGTAGTAATCTGAATGCAATTGGCCCCAATAAGCTCATGGGAATCGACACTGTTAGGAGACAAAGCCTTGTTGAAGGAAGTGTGTCCTATGGGGGTGGGCCTTGAGGTCTCATCTGTGCCCAAACCACGCCCAGTGCCTCAGTCTACTGCCTGTTGACTTCCGATCAAGACACAGCCAGCACCATGTCTGCCTGCAATGATGATAATGGACTGAACCTCTGAACTGTAAGTGAGCCACACAATTAAGTGGTATCTCTTTACAGCAATAGAAGCCCTAACTAAGACAGAAGTTGGTACCAGAAACTGGGGTATTGCTGTCTTGTTTGGAGAAATTTGGACATTGGTACTTTGGGTTAGGAAATAGAATGTTTTAAGTATTTTTAAATTTTTTAAAATAAAATTATTTATTTATTATGTATATAGTGTTCTGTCTGTGTGTATGCCTGCCCGCCAGAAGAGGGCACAAGATTTCATTATAGATGGTTGTGAGCCACCTCGTGGTTGCTGGAAATCGAACCCAGGACCTCTGGAAGAGCAGCCAGTGCTCTTAACCTCTGAGCCATCTCTCCAGCCCTGTTTTAAGTATTTTTTAATGGGCCTTTCTAGCAGGATCATGCAATACAGTGGTCCTGAGTGTGATTTGATGCACTGGGGCAGGGGGGAGCCTACCTCAGAGGTTTAAAGAAGAATTTTAGTATGTTGCCCAGAGATCATTCTTGTGATATACTGGTGAAGAAAATGAATGCCTTTTGCCGTTCTCTAAAGAGTCTTCCTGAGGCTCAAGTGAAGAGTTTTGGATTAATTCTGTTGGCAGAGGAAATCTCAAAACAGCCTAGTATAGACTCTGTCGTGTGGATATTAGTGGTACCTCTAATGAAGATTTATAATGAAAAGGTGCAAGCTGAGCAAATAAAAATATAAAATATACAGATGGAAAAGGAAGGGCACCAGGAGGAGGAATAGAGCTAAATCCTGTGTTCACAGAGATTAAGAAATGGAATAAAAGGAGTGGTGACCTCAGGGCAAGGTCCCACCCAGCTAAATTTCCAATTTGTGAAAAGGAACTAAAGAAAAACTTAGAGCCAGATGTGGTGGTGCAAGCCTTTAATCTAGAGCCAGATGTAGTGGTGCAAACCTTTAATCTAGAGCCAGATGTGGTGGTGCAAACCTTTAATCTAGAACCAGATGTAGTGGTGCAAACCTTTAATCTAGAACCAGATGTAGTGGTGCAAACCTTTAATCTAGAGCCAGATGTGGTGGTGCAAACCTTTGATCCCAGCACTGGGAAGGCAGAGACTGGTGAGCTTTAAGTTTGAGGCCAGCCTGGTCTAGAGATCCAGTTCCAGGACAGCCAAGAGCAGGCAGTGAAGGAAAGAAAGTTGGTGAAGATATAATTGAACTAGAGGACCATGTTCCAGCCCCAGAAAGCAGCAGAACTTGGCCGCTTTGGCCATGTGGTTCTGGCTGTAGAGTTAAGGATAGAAGGAAGAGGCTATGGAATTTGTCCCGGAGACTACAGAGAGCCAGTGGGGCCAGGCATGTGTCACAAGTATCCATCCCCGCATGGAGGCCCAGAGGCCATTACGTGAAGCTGTGAAGGAGAACCTGGATTGCCTTGGAGCCCCCAAGCTGGAGATACCAGAGTCATTGGATACCTGCCAAGGAGAGCTGCTAACAGGGAGTAGAACCAGCACAAGAGAAGGAAGTGTGCTGCAGTCAACAGAAGTAAAAGGAGGGGGAGATCTGAAGAGCGTTTTGACGTCAGACTTGAAAAGGCAGAGTTTGGGGTTTGCCTAGCTGGTTTTTTGTCTTGCTTTGGTCCAGAATTTTTTCACTATGCTCCCTTCCCTGCCTTTTGAAATGGTAATGTATATCCTGTGCCATTATATGTTCGAAGTGTGTGATCTGCTTTGACTTTGATTTTTATAGGTGATTACAGTTAAGCGATTGCATGAATCTCAGAAGAAACTTTGAACTTTGGACTTTAAAACATTGTTGAGACTGTGAAGGACTATGGATGTAGGGTAAAAGTGCAGCCAAAGAAACACACCCTGACCCTGAGACCAGAGCCAATTCACTGGCCCTGAACCCAGAGCCAAGAAACACACCCTGGCCCTGAACCACTCAGCCTAGAAGCCAACCAATCCCTGATCATAAAATCCAGCCAATCTCTGAGTTTATCCAAGCTCATTGTAATTCCGACCCTTGTAAACCTCCAGCTGCCTGGTTCTACTCCTAGACTACTCTGGCAGTCAGGCCTGACACCTTGAGGCTCAGGTCTCAGGAGCTCCAATGGCCAGGCCCCATCTCCAGACTTCAACCCTCAAGGTAGTGAAGTGACTAAGCCCCACTCCATAGAAAGAGGAGAAAGAAAAGTGCAAGACCAGGCCACAAAAGTTCACCAATCCCTGAGCTTGCCCCAGAGTCTGACCACAAAATCCCATCAATCCCTGAGCTTGCCCCAAGATCAGATCATATAATCCTTCCAATAACAGGCCACCCTGGAAGGCTCCATACTACCTGCCCCAACCCCTATATAAGGTCTATTTCTGCTCACCAAGCAGAGGCGGCCACCCTCCTGGGTCTTTCCCCTCCCAGTGAATCGCTTGTGTGACTTTGTGGGATTCCTTGGCTCCTGACTGCCAGGAGACTTTCTCTTCAGACCTGTAACACTTCCACTGGGGAAGCCTTTCCCCTCAGAGCTGTAACACTTACATCTACAACAAAAGTTTCTTAGGATCCGCTCAAGAAAAGAGAGGAGGCATTTTCCTAGAACGAGCTAAAAACACATGCTAAATCCACAGATGTCTATTCCAAATGAATGCATCCTGCAGTCTCTGGAAAGGCCTCTTCCATGAGCTGGGCAGGAAGCGGAAGTGCACAGACCGCACTCTTTAGTCTGCTGACAGGATTTGTCTTCTTACTACTCAGGCATGCTCATCACCATGGGCTGCAGCAGCAGCTTGGCTGGAGGACAGCAGAGGCCTGTGGTTGGTGTGAACACTTTCACTGAGGACAGCAGAGGACTATGGTGTGAACACTTTCACTCACCTCCACGGCCACTACGATCAAAACCAGGTCTGTTTTGGACTCCGGGAAGACCGCATTCACTTGTGGCGACATCCCGATCAGAGCACAGTTAGTGACCACAGATATAACACTCATCGTTTCAAAGGCCAACTGAAAGATAAAAAGGTGTGGCGTTAATGGCGGCAACAGCCATGTCCTGTGTCCACTATCTGAGCCCAAGGAAAAGCTTCTCCAGGTTCTATGCTACCCACACACATTTTAAACCTCTGTCCCTCCTGGCAGGGTTCTTTTCACTTAAAGCTAGCCCATTAGCGGACATTTTAGATCCCTTCGGCCTGATCCCTCCTGAGCAGTATTGTTCGGCCTTCCCACCCGAGGACGGCCTGGCTTGGAGTGTGGAACGCCCGCAGCCCTGTTTGTGTTATTGTCTCTGCTTGTTTATAGGGATGGGGGTGCTTATAGACCACCAAAGAAAACCTCTTCACACTCCAAGCCAGACAACATCTTCAAGAAAAGCTATTTTACAAGACTGCCCTTGCTTTGATAAGGCGCACACCCCACGTGGCTGAGCTATAACAGTCTCCAGTTATGCATGGCCCCTTCCTGAGGACATGAACCAAAGCCCCTGTAGAGTGTTAGCAAATAGGGAAGCCGGGCTTCCCTGGCACTCACAGAACACTGACGGGGTCCCACAAGGAGGTCCATGTGTCCTATGGTGTGTTGCTGGGTAACAGTGGGAACCTCCATGTTCTCCCTTTGCCACTGTAAGCTCTTGATGGCTGCCTCCTGATGACCGAAGCCACTCCTAACAAGCACAAGGGCTGTACCTCTGCCTCTTCTTCCAATGGTCATGGGTGTATACAGTAGCTGCTTTGTCCCATAGAGTAATTTTGTGAGTTACTGTGTTTTCTTGTTACTTGGGCCAATTTTCCAGTTAATTCTCTGGGTTTTCCCAAGGACACTTGTCCCACAGTGTTTTGGGATGGGGGGTGTTTTCCAAGACAGAGTTTCTCTGTGTAGCCCTGGCGATCCTGAAACTCACTTTGTAGACCACACTAGCCTTGAACTCATGGAGATCCACCTACCTCTGCCTCCCAAGTGCGGGGATTAAAGGCGTGCGCCACCATGCTCAACTTGTTTCACCGTTTAATACACAAACCGCTTCAGGTTTTCTGCCATACATGAGAGGTACTATTTGTTCCTCAATTCTCTGTGTGTCTGGTTTTGCCATCACACTAATTTTGGCTTCCTAAGTATTGAGGGCTAGACTGACCTGGGGCGCTCTGATGTATGGAGAAGGAGCTATGCCTGGGCCCAGGGCCTTGAGGGAGCCGCAGCTTTGTGAGGTGGGATTCCCCTCCGTATTCTGTGAATGTGTTTTGTTGCCACTGGTTAATAAACCACGTGCATACACACGTGCACACATGTACACACACACATACATACCCATACACACACACACACGTGCACACACATCCCTGCCCCATCCCCCAAGGCTGCAGGCCTGCAGACACTGATCCACTCCTGCTGGACACTGCCACTGTGTTTGTCTTTTCTAGGACCCACATCCTTGACTCAGTGATCTTATTTCTGTTTTCAATTTATCTGAGTCGTTCTCTTTCCTGTTTCCTTTCTTCTACTGGCTGTGGGTTTATCTTGCTTGTCTTTTCTAGTTTAATGAGCCCTCAGTTAATGAGCTGCTCCAGTATAAACATCCCTGAGTCCTGCCAGCCTCCTTACCAGCGGCATCCCACAAAAGCCTCCTTCGGTTTAGTGTCTTTGGACAGCATCTGGGATTTTTTCCCATGGATACTTTATGTTGTCTAGTGTTGGGAGGTCTTGCTGTTGTTACCTTCTGTCACTAACTCTGGCTTGGCCTCATTGTACTGTGTACAATCCCCACTTGCTGGAGTGTTTTCTGTCCTGTCAGATGCAGCCTGCTGATGGACCACTGAGCCTTGTCCACTCTTGGTGATTTTCTTCTTCCATCTTGGGGAACGGGGTATTTCCATCTCTAACTACTGGGTTCCTCTAGTCTCCTTCCAAATTTGTTCTCTCTCACACTGTTGTTTGATACATATACATTTCAGTTTGATGTTTTTCTGAGAATTTGTCTCCTTTTTTGTAGCAGATTGCTCCTCTCTGGTAACCTAGCCTCAGAAGTATCCTTTATCAGACTATCAGACTGTATCACAGCCTCCTCTGCTTTATCAGACTGTACCATAACCACCTCTGCTTTATCAGACTGTATCACAGCCTCCTCTGCTTTATCAGACTGTATCACAGCCTCCTCTGCTTTATCAGACTGTATCACAGCCTCCTCTGCTTTATCAGACTGTATCACAGCCTCCTCTGCTTTATCAGACTGTATCACAGCCTCCTCTGCTTTATCAGACTGTATCACAGCCTCCTCTGCTTTATCAGACTGTACCATAACCACCTCTGCTTGCCCTCTTTTCTCTTCCTTTCGGGAACGTCTCCTTAGTTTCCTTATCTCCCCCCCCCCCTTTGTGAACTGTTTCAATCACTCTGCCAATCTGTCTCTAATCTATGGCTTTAAGCCATTTATAGTTAGTGTAATTGGTGACATGCTGGGACTTAAGTCAGACACTTGTTTTCTACCTGATCCCTGGTTTTACTGTTTGTTTTTCTTATTGATGATAATATTGAGGTTATTGTCTGGTAACGTTTAGGGGTACTCTGGGTATTATACATTTTCTGCTCTTAAGAGTTTTTCCTTCCTCCAGCAATGACTAATAGCTTTTACATTATTCCCCGTGTAGTTACCTGCCACACACCAATACTGGCTGAAGGTTCTGCAAACGGCCGTTTGAAGACCCTGCACATTTTCAAGGCATCTGAGTTGACCTCAGTGAAGTTATTCAGCACAGCAAAGGCAGCTGCTAATGGGTAGACGCAGGAGAAAAGGCTCACATAGCCAAACTGCAGGAAGAGCTCCAAGTAATCATCGAAGGTTCCCTGCAATGTGGACAGAAGGCTCAGAGTCACACAGAAATCTGCAACGCTTGGAAAGGGTGGTCTTCAGCTACTAAAATCTCCAGGTCTACTCCAATCCTTTCTTCCCAACCACAAGTTCAGACAAACTGAAAGATGATTTTGCACTAAGTTGCTGAAATCAGGAATCAAAAGTTATTTAGTTGTCTATTTTCCTCATGTACAAATCACTGAACTAATTAATACCCACCTCCCTTAACTACCACCTCAAGGCAAACAATAAAAAAATCTAAACATAGTTGCTTTTAATGATCCCGTTAAGAGATCTCTCTAATGGGTGGTGATGGTACACACCTTTAATCTCAGCACTCAGGAGGCAGAGGCAGACAAATTTCTGAGTTTGAGGCCAGCCTGGTCTACAGAGAGTTCCAGGACAGTCAGGGTGACATAGGGAAACAGTGTCTTGGGGGGGGTATCCTTATCTGTAGGCACCCAGGATGCCCTGGCCTTAGACTATAAAGCTGATGAGCTGGCAAGACACTTCATCGAGTAAAGGAGAATGCTGCCAAGCTCAAAGACCTGCATTTGATTCCAAGATCCACATGGTGGAAGGAGAGGACCAACCATGAGCACACACACGCATGCATGTACAATAAAGTTAATAAGAGATTAAGAGGTCAGAATGATTTTTTAAACTGAAAATAACGACACCAGTAAAATGGTAACAACTCTCCACGGGAGCAGCAACAGTTGTCATGATTAACTTTGGCTGCAGTGTTCTCTAGAGTCTAACTGTATGCTGACAGCATTTAGCAAGGAGAAAACTGCATGTTGTGGCATTTTAGCTTGACTTCATCCCTACTCATTCATGTAGTAACATGAAGTAGAATAGCTTGCACTGCTATCAGTCACAAGGGACAAAGTGGCTGCAGCTCTCCCAAAGCCTTGTCTCAAAGGGAAGTCACTATCTAACCTGGCTGGGTACTCTGGAACACCCCACACAAAACAGTTGCCTTTTGTGGACTTCCAGAATTCCTTCCAGGTCCAAAAACTCCTCCTGGGTCTTTGTTAAATGTTCTTACATCACATCTGTCAGGGACAACGGGTGGACCAGGAGCTCAAGGCAGGATTGAGCAGCAAGATGCCCACAGGCTACGGAAAGCTGCAGTATTCCCAGGAGCCTACACCAACGTAGGCACCAGGAGTGAGGAACCTAAAGGTGAGGCAGAGCTGTCAACATACTGACTGAGCACCAATGATCCCAACCCAAAACAAAGACAACACACCTCAGAGAAGAGGAGACTCAACCACTGCAAGACATCGTGGGGTGTGTGTGTGTGTGTGTTCACATCTGGAATTGTGTTTTTATGATCACAACAGTCAAATCTTCATACAGATGTGCGATTTCCCTCAAAAGAGCTAATTAGGTATTGTCTGGTATGCTAGGGTCCCTGCTCAGGGAACTTCCTCCCATGCCACAGTGGGCTGGGTGGACCCCGGCATGTGAGTCTACTGCAGGGAGCTCTTCCTCACATCCCAAAAGGTTAGATGGGGGGCCCCTTCCAGCCCTTCCTGCCTCACGAGGTTACTCTAGGTGGCTACACACTCACCACCAGTACGTTTATACTGGAGAGGCTGGGTCAACAGGCTTAGTCAGTACCAGGTGAAACCCAAGAGCAAGAAAAGAAAATGCAATCTTAGCAAAGCAAATACAAGCCCAAGACACCCTTGACCCCATGAGCTGAAATCCAGCAAAGATCACTTGATCTGCCCTGTGAGTCCCTGTAGCAAACCTTAGGAACAGAACGGTTATGTATGGTATAGTATGCCAGTGAAAATCATAATCTCACAAACCTAATGCATTAAGTATCTGAAGACAAAGTTCAGGTTCCAGGGGACCACACGACCTGCTCCTCCTGTATTTACCCAGCGCCAACTGAATGCCAAGGAAAGCAGGCACTGGATAGAAACAGTAGCCAGGGCAGAGACCGTGGAACTCTGAAATTGCTCGTGATGAGAAACTATATGTAGTGGCTGCTAACCGCCAAGAAACTAGGTTTCCATGACTAATGAAACAGGGTGCAATCACTATTACAGAGAAGAGAAGATTAGTAGCTTATGGTCTCAACACTAAGTAAAATCTTAGCATGTTCCCACCAAAGTGTAGCAACGTGATAGAACAACTAAGGAGATAGTAACCACAAAAAGAAAGAAATCTTGATAAAGATCAGTACCATTCATGATTTAAAACCCCACAAAATAAACCATTTTAAAATAAGAAAAAAATGTCTCCAAAACAGAAAACAAACTTAACAGCCAGCAGTGAGAAGATGGGGTCACAGAGAAGGCGAGACAAAGAAGTGGGCATGGCAGTCTACGCAGAAAGTCCAGTAAGACTGCTGGGTAGAGACAAAACCTAACACTGCCCATACACAGTCAGCAACAGTCAGAGCTGGACCTGAAGGAGAGGCCAGGTGCAAGGGACAGTTTCAGAGCACAGGCCCACAGGGCAAGCCAGCTCAGCCCCGGCCCTAAATAGGCAAATCAGCAAATCACTCTGGGTAAAGTCACAATGGGGCGGGGAGGGGAATTCTACGCCCACCGCTGTTCTCCAGAGCTCTGGTCCCAACTCCTAGGTGCTACTGCAGATGCTAGGATCATCCTTACATGAGTCTTATCTACTGACGTTCATCATCCTAGAAATTAAGACAGAAAGTGTCTCATTGACTCACTGAAATGATGACCCAGTAACATAAACAGAATACCTTAAACACACACACACACACACACACACACACACATTTTCCAAATCAGAAAATGTTTAAGAGCAAGAGAGACGTCCAGGCACATTCCTGGCGAGCCTCTTCACTACTGACTTAGTGACGATGGCCCTGGCTGGGTGGCAGCTGCTGGCTAGGGCACTGTAGGTGGAAATGCCTCCTCTCACAGATACATGGATATGATGCAATGGGACGGCAGTGGACAGGGAAGTTATGAGCAACTGCACAGTCATGGCCTGGGCAGGGCCGGGGGTCAGAACACCCAGAGGCTGCCCTTCCTGAGGAGACAGAGGCTTCATTTTCCTCACTTCCTCTGTCCATCATTTCTCAGGTTTTTCTACAGTGAAAGTTGTGTTTCACAGTAATTTTGCAATCTGACAAACTGATTTCTTCCAAAATTTGTCCACGTTTTCAGACAGCGGAGCAGGCAGTTCCAAGACCATGGACTTCAGTGGGGAGCAAAAGGGCCTGGAAAGGGCAGGGCTCCAGAGACCGTTCAGAGAACGTGACTGCTGGGCTCTTCCTTCCCTATGCCTGCAGACGTTTAGAACCTGCCCCTTGTCACTTCCGCGGAGACAGTGAACAGAGAAACTGCAGATTGTTGCACAAATAATGAAAACCCAGAGACAGATATTAAAGCTCAGCCTGAAGATCAGAAAAGCAAAGCAACCAAGCACTAGAGAGTCCTCTTACCCCTCCCAGATCTTCAGACCAAAAGGGGGAGATCCTGTCTCCACGAATCCTCAGACTCCACACTCCACTGAGTTCCCGTCTCTTCCGTTTATATATTCCTCTCTCCACCCAGCCATATCACTCCCTCTTCACCTCCCTAATACTGGGATTAAAGGCCTGTGACTCCCAAACACTGGGATCCACCACCACCTGGATCAGTTTCTGGATTGACCTTGTGTAGCCCAGGGTGGCTTTGAACTCAGAGATCCGTCTGCCTGTGTCTCCAGAGTCCTGGGATTACAGGTGTGCACCACCACTGCCTGGCCTGTGTGCCTGACTAGTGTGGCTGCTTTGCCCTCTGATCTTCAGGGAAGATTTATTTATTAAAACACAAATAATATAACCATTATAGTAGGTGAGGAGAAAGTGGCTGGACTGTGTAGACAGCTCGAGGGGTGCTCTGTTAGCACAGCACTCACCCACAGTCCCCATACCCACCTACTAGGCCCTCACTTCATTCTCAGAGCTCAGGCTCACAGCACCGACTCTAGGCCTGGGAAGGAGAGCCCAGAACTCCTCCCTGACTCACCGACCAAAAACACTGCACCGCCTGCTGCGCAGACCAACTCTAGACCTGGTGCTGTAGCACACAAGAGAGGACAGTGGTCACTGCTGCCCCTGTCATGCTTCACAAAGGAAGAAGATGTGGAGCTGGAGAGACCAGAGCTAAGATTCTGGCGGGACATTCTCAGATGAGTAAGAACTGAGGGGGGAGGAAGGGAGGGAAGGAGGGAGACACAGACACACACACAGAGAGGAAGAGGGGGAGAGGGAGAGGTCCGTGCAGCACACAGCAAGCATAGGAAAAGCAGCAGAGAGACTTGGGAGGTAAGTCTGACTTGGGGCTCATCAGCTGCTAAGACTGAAGGAAGAGTTAGGTTTTCATTACCTCTAGTAATCCATGTGTATTTCCTCAAATTAACCGAGAAGTCTTCTAGTCAAAAGAAATGTCGTATTAGAGTACTACTCAGCAGTAAAAAACAAGGACTTCTTGAAGTTTGCAGGCAAATGGATGGAAATAGAAAACACTATCCTGAGTGAGGTAAGCCAGACCCAAAAAGAGGAACATGGGATGTACTCACTCATATTTGGTTTCTAGCCATAAATAAAGGACATTGAGCCT